ACTTTATTTGATACTTATTATTATTTTTTCAAGTAGGTTTTTTATTGTGTACTCTGTGAAAGACCTTGTGCTAAAGTGTAAGACAAAAATAAAGCAAACTGCCTGCAGTTCTCCTGTCTGATGCTGATGGGTATAGATTTGGGGCAAGGGTGGAGGAGGGTGGCACAAGATGACTTTCTTGGGCAACGTGACTGATAGCAATGGTCAGGCCTGAGGAAGAAAAGTTGCTCTGAGGCTTTTCTCACAGTGCAGGTGCCTCCTGAGGAGACGCGGTTGTGCAGTTGGGAGTGAGCTGTGAGGTGCTGTCTTAGCCATTGAGGCCCTCGGGAGTAGAGATGCTTCAGGAGCAGGGCAGGGCCAGCACCCTGGGGGTTGTGCAGGCAGTGGCCCAGCTAGTGCATTTTACCAACTGCCCTGCCTCCTGTTTCTCCAAGAACGTCCCAGAAAAGCAAATCACGGGACAGAATGAGTCTTCACTCGGAGTTTTGTTCATTTGAAGTAGTTCTCAGAAGTAGTCTTGTTGATGTAATTACAGTCTACACAGAAAACAGGTTAGCCTTCATCCTAGACACAAAACACTTTTTAAATTATTTCTTTTAACTCGCTAAACTAAGATTGATTTCCTAGGTAAAAATTTCAGGTTCTGTGACAGTGTTTTCCATTCAGGGATCCTGCTCATGATGAGTGTGAGTCGCCGCACCCCTCTCCCATCTGATCTTAGGTGTGGAAGAACCTCTCTGCTCTCAGTTCTTTTTTCACCTCTCATTCATTCATTTGTTTGTTTATTCAACAAACATTTACTATGTGCCAGCTTGTATGTGAGGTGCCAGAGTTCTTGTCCCAGCCTTACATAGGGATCAGCAATCTGGAGAAAGGAGCTGCACATAGATTCAAGAAAGAGTCCAAAAAATGAAAGATAATTTTGAAAGGCATTGGGGGTCAGAGGATCCAGCTAAAGGAGCTGGAAGACTACCCCTTGTCTAAGGACCCCATGTTATTTATTAACACAATCTCTCCTAAGGCAAGGTGGAGACATACACTTCAAAGGGTAAGGTTTCAAAGGGTAGGGTTCAGAAGCATGGTCAGTTTGGGGAATAGCCTACAGCTGTTCAGGTGTTTGGCCAACAGGAGGCAATAACATGCCCTGAGCTGTGTGGCAGCGGACAGTCCTATTCAGGTTTGGGAGAAGTGCCATTTAGCCGTTCCAACAGATAATTACATTTGACTCAACCCTTGTTGAGCTCCCCAAGCTTCACCAACCTTTTGGTGAAACTCTTGTAATTATGACATGCTGGAAGTGGGCACGAGGATAATGACTGGTCCAAACTGGACCAGTTACCATCCCAAATATGTTTTTATGATGGTTTCACAGCCTGGGGGTTTCACACTTTCCTTTGCTTGTAACCTTTCCTGTCCTCCACGATGTAACCGAAATGCCTGTCTCCCCAGGTAAAACGTACCTCCATTTCTGCAGTTCTGTTTCCCACTTTTCTTTTTAAACAAGTGGCAGTTCAAAATAGAAAATCCTCCTCTCCGTTTTGTAGCTGAAGACACATTCTCAGAGAAGATGGATTCTCGTGACCCGGACAGTAGTAGCAGAATGAAGTTGAACCCATGGGGGCTATGGCCCCCATGACGGTACAGGTCTGATTTTTCCAGACCTGGCCTTTCCGGGTGCTGGCGACACCGGCAGCTCTTAGGACTTCCAGCCTCCTCTGTAAGGTGACGGTGTGCCTTCTCCGCTTCGAGTGAGATGTGAGCGGGAAGCGCCGGGTTTGTCTGCGCTCTCACCAACAGGAGGGCACCGCAGCGGTGCCAGCTGTGCGTGTGGCTTCAGCATGGCAGGGACCGCTTTGTTTCCTGAGTGAAGGTTATGACTGCGGCCGGCCTCCCTGCATTCATGTGTTCCTGAGGCTTCCACAGAGAGGAGTTTTACATAGAGGGCTTCCGCTTGTGCGGTGCCATCGACTACAAGCCGAAGAGCCAGCAAAGTGTTCCTCTCGTGTCTTTCTCAGCCACCAGATGCTCGTCTTCCTGGAGGGGGAACTGCCCGGTGTGTGAGGCCACGCATGTGATGTGAGGAACTGCCCGGTGTGTGAGGCCACGCATGTGAGGAACTGCCCGGTGTGTGAGGCCACGCATGTGAGGAACTGCCCGGTGTGTGAGGCCACGCATGTGAGGAACTGCCCGGTGTGTGAGGCCGTGCAGCGATGCTGTGGGCCCGGCACAGGGCCCGCTCCAGCCCAGCCCTGAGCAGGCTGCCCTCGGTGTGTCAGTAACTGAGCCCATGGCGACTGGATTTGCTCTTAAGATAAAACGGTGTTACTGTGGGTTTCAGCGTAATGCGGAAAACATTATATATGGATTTTTAAATAGTTTTTGAGTAGTAACAGGTGCGCACAGTACAGAATTCTTCCTATGCCAGCTCCTCCCCGGGGCTGCAGTCTCTGGGGCCGCCTTCCAGAGGTGGTCCAGGCCGGCGGCCGCCAGCCTTTCGGCCTCTGGACCGATACGGCCATTTGAGCTCCGGTCCGCACGGTGCTACATGATGCGTGCTCCTCACCGCGGAACTGGGTGCTGTCACACCGACAGCTGCCGCCTCCATCTGTGTGAGGCGCTGTTATGAGCAGCTTTCTGACTGATGGATGTTTAGATTGTGATAGAAAAGACATTGACAATCAATATCTTTATAGATACCTCACGTGTGCATAGGTATGTGTATCTGTGCATTGAGTTCTTGGATGTGGAATCAATGGGCAGGAGACACGGTTAGAAAGTGTGCTGAGACCCATTGCCCTCCAGACCGTAGTAGTCGCTCACCTCAGTGTGTGCATTACTCCTGTCCGTACAGTGTCACACGTTCATCTTGGGCAGTGTTACAGGTGCACTGTTTCTGTCTGTCCCACACTTTTCATGTCTAAAATCCACTTATTGGAGAGAAACTGCAGTTTCTTTTTGAGGTGATAAAAATGGTATGAAATTAGACAGTGAGTGATGCTTTCATACTTTTGTAAATACACTTAAAATCACTGGATCGAGCCCATTAAATAGGGTGAATTTTGTGGCATGGGAATTATATCTTGCTAAAGCTGTTATTTTAAATATAAAACCCATTTGCGTTTCCCTTGTTTCTTTGTCCTTTTTCTTACAGGAAATTCGTTTTTGTTTTGTTTTGTTTCGTTTTTCACAGTTGCCCGTTTGCTCTTTTAATCTTGATTCCTTGTTTTGCTCTTCAGACAGTAGAAATTTTTCATTTTTATATATGGTTAGTCAGAGCCTTTTTTTTTTTTTTTAAGAAAATTTGAAGTGGTTTTTCATACTTGGAAAGGTTTTTCTTCAGTATCATATATATTTAAATCTTTGCTTCTAAATCTGTAGAATTTCTTTTGGCTTAAGTTGTGAGTTAGGGATAATAGCTTTTTTCCTTCAGATGATACTCAATTGTCCCATACTTAATAAATAAAAACAATAATTGGCTGCTTCCTGCACACTCCACACTGGATCAAGCCTGCAACCCAGCCATGTGCCCTTTATCGGAATTGAACCAGAAACCCTTCAGTCCACAGGCCTATACTCCAGCGTTTTTCAACCGCTGTTCCCTCGGCACACTAGTGTGCCGCGAGATGTTGCCTGGTGTGCTGTAGGTGCAGACAAGACAAGAATTTTATAATTTTTCACTATTTTGTTTACTTAATATTTCATAATAAAGTAATTATAAAATACTTTCTTTGTGTTTATTTGATTCCTATTCAAGAGAATTACTTTATATATAGTCAATATAGGCACAGAGTTAAACTTTTTAACATTTTCTAATGGTGGTGTGCCTCGTGATTTTTTTCATGAAACAAGTGTGCCTTTGCCCAAAAAAGGTTGAAAAGCACTGCTATACTCTATCCACCGAGCCAAACTGGCCAGGGCTGAAATTCAACCTTTATCATTTCCTAAATTCTTTTATGTCTTGTGGTCTAAATTCTGGACTTTTTATTCGGCCCCATTCTTGTTATTTCATATGTTACTATCACATATTTTAATAACTTTACATATAAAGACTTGTAAAACACTGTTTAAAAGTTTGCTTTATCATTCTCGATTGTATTTCCCTTAAGTGACACTTTATTTTTATTGCATTAACTTACAGAGATGTTCATGAATTCGATTATTTTACTCCTTTGCTGCTTCTCTTATTGTCTTATTATCTGTTCATTGTCTGTCAGCTCGATCTATAATAATAAAAGCAATTCTAAATGAAACTGTGGGGGCAGGGGCTGAGGCAGAGGTGGTTAGGGGTGATCAGGCAGGCAGGCAGGCAGGCAGGCGGATGAGTTAGGAGTGATCAGTTATGCAGGCAGGCAGGTAGATGAGTGATTAGGGGCTATGCAGTCCCATATTGTGAAAGCGATGTCCGACTGCCAGACATCCTCCGAGGGGTCCCTGATTGTGAGAGGGTGCAGGCTGGGCTGAGGGGACAGCCCCTCCTCTCCATGCACAAATTTCGTGCACCGGGCCTCTAATGTTAAGTGATAGTGATCACAGGAGACATTCTCAGCTTGCCTCCCTTAGTGTAGTGCACATGCTTTAGGCATGAGATAGTAATATTCATACGTGAAATGGGGCTGTGTCGTTCTTTTGCTTGTTTTTTATTACCAAGTTTGGTTCCATTGTCTTAGAACTAATTTTAAATATATTCATTTTTTAAATCAGCTGTGGAACAATTTAAATGTCATTGGTGTTGCTCATCCTGAAGAGGTTTGGTGGCAGAATCCCCATGAGCCCGAGGGGGGCTCTTGTTCTGTGGGGAGGCAGTTCTCACTGACTTATCCTACTTCTACGTAACCCTCTATTTTCTCTTTTGGGACCACTATGTTTTCCTTAAAAATTACCCTTTTATCAAAGTTTTTGGATGGATATGCACGGATGAGTCATAGTATTCTTAAGTTTCTCTTAACTTCTTCTATCTTATTTTGCATTCTCTATATTGATTTCTTTGTTCTTTTTTATAGGAACGGGAAATATAGTGGTCATTATGGTTAGCTACTCGAAAGGAAAAGAAATTTTGGATCTAGTACAAAAAGAAATTCAAGTCAAAATGACCATTCGGGTTGGGACCCGCCATGTCCAGGAGTTCATCAGTGGCCAGTCTGTGGTGTTCGTGGCCATTGCCTTCATCACCATGATGATCATCTCATTAGCATGGCTGATATTTTACTATATACAGCGTTTCCTGTATACTGGCTCACAGCTTGGAAGCCAGGTAATTATGGATAATCCTTTTTAACTTTGCTTTTTAAAAGATAGTTTGTAGGTTTTTTCCATAGATACTGCTTGAAGTTGTATTGGACCTTATTCTTAATTTCATTTTCACTCATAATAGTTAAGTATTGATATGATGCTTTTTCTGCAAATAACTTTTAAATAGAATATATTACACTTTTCTGTTCTGTGGGGAATCAGATATCTTTAAAGCCAGGTCACTTTTTGCATGTTTCGCAAACGTAATGGAATGACAAAGAGGCATGAGGCAGAGGGGGCCTGGTTCTATGGCGCTGCGCAGGGGAGGACAGGGGTGGGAGGGCTTCGGAGCCAGGCTCCCACACCGAGCTTCACGCCCGGGGCCCGGGGCCCTGCTGTTGGAAAAGTCACCCTCCTGACCTGGAGGCAGGAGAGGGTCTTTCTGAGTCATCTTCTGCCTGTTGGCTTGGAAGCCCCTTTCCGACAGGGACGTTAATAGTTGGTAGCCCCATCCTTAGCTTACAACTTTGTAGCCAATATTTAAACACTAGAGGCCAGATGCACGAAAATTCGTGCAAGAGTAGACCTTCCTTCCCCCGGCTGCCGGTACCGGCTTCTCTCTGGCACTTGAGACCCGGGCTTCTCTCCTCTGCCTGCCGGCAGGCACCCAAGACTCAGGCTGGCTTCCTTTGGGCCACCCACAGGCACCCAGGACCCAGGCTTCATCAGAAAGGACGTTCGGAATGACACCCAGAAGACATCCAGTCTAATTAGCATATTACCCTTTTATTATTATAGGTGAGAATTGGAATTGGGCTCTTGTTAGGCATGGAATTGAAAATAGTATCTCCCCCAATTGCAGTTTACATTGAGTATTGTTTTGCACAGCTTAGACAAACATATACTTTATAAAGTGCCCCCCCCCCCCCCCCCGTATTTCTAGCACCCACCTGGCACCATTCATAGTTATCGACAGATATAAAAGGCTAATGTGCTAAGTGTCTGTCCAGCCAGTAGCTGTGTTGCGCACTGACCACCCGGGGCAGACACTCTGCAGGAGCTGCCATTCTCCGGTGACACACCCCGAGACCAGAGAGGAGGGAGCCCAATTCCTCATGGGACCATCGGCCGTGGGTTGTTGCTGGGGCACGGTCGGCCCCGAATCTGGTTTGCTGCTCACTGTGTGCGTTCCACACCCTGTGTGACAGCAGCTCTGAAGAGTGCCCTCTCACATTCGGGACCCCTCAGGGGATCTCAGAGAGCCAGTGTCAGCCCGATCCCCCCGGCCAGGCCAGGCCAGGGACCCCTCGCTCCGCAGATGCCCTTCGAACCACGTCACCCCCCCGGGGCAGCTGGCCAGGGAGAGTCCATGGGAGGTGGGCTCCAGGGCGTGTCTGCCCAGTCCCGCCCCACTGGCCACCTTCTAATTAATTTCCTTCAATGTGCACGAATCCTTGCACCAGGTCACTAATTACTTATATTTCCTATGCTACACTTTGCATCCCCATGACTAGTCTGTAACTACCAGTCTGTACTTCTCAGTCCTATCACCTTTTTCACCCCATGTCCCCCAACCCCCCTTCCATCTGGTAACCCTCGGTCTGTTTTCTGTACCCGAGTCTGTTCTGTATTGTCCTGTAGATTCCACATGTAAGGAAGTCACTTGGTATTTGTCTTTCCGTGCCTGGCACATGTGCAGCAGCATAGCTGGGTCTGGAGGGTGTTGTGCTAAGTGAAAATAAGTATTCTTGATCAAATAGCTCTTAAGTTGTATGTGCTTATTCTGTACATTAAGACAAATGGTAATTTTAAAGTTATTTCATTATAGTCATTTAACTTGGCTTTTTAAATGAATTTCTTCTATAAGCTTCCTTATATTTTATGAGTTTTTTTAAATAATGATTTTACATAAACTTTCAATAATAATAACAATTTTTTTTCTACTTCAGAGCCATAGAAAAGAAACTAAGAAAGTTATTGGCCAGCTTCCACTTCATACTATAAAGCATGGAGAAAAGGTAATATTTTTGTGGTTTGTGTTTTCTGTTTTGTTTTTTGTTGAGACTAGACTATATGTCTGTCTGTGTCTAAGTAAGCCTTTCCAGTCTGCTGTATGCAGTGTCGTGCACATGAAGTTTTAACTAGTTGAATGAATACTAACTCATTTTATATGTGTTCATTTTAGAGCAAGGTTGTCAGAAATAATTCAGTTGCATATGTGATGAGTTTTTCAGACCTAGGACAGCCACTAGCCATACACAGCTAACGTGAATTAAATTAAACCTAAAATTCAGTTCTTTCGCCACATTAGCTACAGTCCGATGCTCCATTAGCCTCAGTGGCTGGTAGTATACTGGACAGTGCTATATGTCCATCATCGGGAAACCTCTGCCTGGTGGTCAGACTTAGATGACGCTAAAGAAGATGAAGAACCTAAAGTTCCTGCCACAGACCCTTGGAAATTTAAATTCATCTTTTTTAATCTGAGACTGTTTATTCTCTCAGCTACCTTGGATATGTATTCTCTCAAACCCCTTGGATATGTGAAAAAGGGAGAAACTGTTTTTAAAAGTACTTTTTTACAAAAGAAACATTTTCACATGGCTAACCCGAGACTTAACAGGATAGAATCATACCCGGTTGAACCATGTTTAGAATAGGACTGGATCTAGAACCTCAGATTTTGGAGGGTAGATTCCTTAAAAGGAAAACATTTGCTAACACAACAGTGTTCATCTTTTTTTTTTTTTAATAAATTTTTATTGTTCATGTTATTACAAATGTTCCTCCCCCTCCCCTCCATTGCTCTCCTCCACCAGGTTCCCACCCCACCCTCTTCCCTTTCCCCACCCCCCATTGTCCTCATCCATAGGTGCACAGTTTATGTTCAGTCTCTTCCCAAATCCTCCTCTCCCCTTTTCCCCAAGAATCGTCAGTTCACTCCCCTTCCATACCTCTGATTCTATTATATTCACCAGTTAATATTGTTCATCAGATTTATTTTTTTAATTTCCTTGGTTTTTAGATTCACTTGTTGATAGTTACGTATTTGTTGTTCATAATTTTTATCTTTATCTTCTTCCTCTTCCTAAATAACCTCCTTCAGCAATTCATATAATTCTGGTTTGGTGGTGATGAACTCCTTTAGCTTTTTTTTATTGGTGAAGCTCTTTATCTGGCCTTCGATTCTGAGTGAGATAGCTTTGCTGGATAGATTATCTTTGGCTGTAGGTTCTTACTGTTCATCACCTTGAATATTTCTTACCATTTCCATCAGGCCTGCATGGTTTCTGTTGAGAAATCAGCTGACAATCGTATAGGTGCTCCTTTATAGGTAACTACCTGCTTTGCTCTTGCTGCTTTTAATGTTCTCTCTTTGTCTTTTGCTCTTGGAATTTTAATTATGATGTGTCTTGGTGTGGTTCTCTTTGGATTCCTTTTATTTGGAGTTCTGTGTGCTTCCTGGACTTGTAAGTCTAATTCTTTCACCAGGTGGGGGAAGTTTTCTGTCACTACTTCTTTCAGTATGTTTTCAATATCTTGCTCTTTCTCTTCTTCTGGGACCCCATAATTCTGATGTTGGTTCGCTTGAAGTTGTCCCAGAGGTTTCTTACATTATCTTCAATTTTCTGGATTCTCTTGTCTTCTTGCTTCTGCGGAACAGTGTCTTCTGGCTCTTTATGTTCCAAATCTTTGACTTGATTCTTGTGATCTTCCATTTTGTTTTTAGGACTCTGTATAATATTTTTATTTCAGACAATGTATTCTTTATTTCTTGTTGATCCCTTATCATTTCTTGTTGATTCCTTATTAATTCTAGTTGATCCCTTTTCATATCCTCATAGGTCTTATCGACCTTTAATAGGAAATTCTTGAAAAACCTTATAAGCGTAGAGTTGAACTCTATATCCAGTCGCTTTTTGTCCTCCATTTCTTTCATTTGTGATCTATTTCCTTGTCTCGGCATCTTCGCAGCTTCCCTGATCGGGCGGGATTTCAGGGTGGAGCCTATAGCCTTGGCTTCCGTCAGCCCCGCCCTATGTGGTTCCTGAGTCTCAGTAATCCCCAGGGTCCTTCAGTACACATTGCAAGCACTTCTGAGAGAAAGGTGCCCTCGATTTTCGCCTGCTACCAAACAGTCTATGCTCTCCCCCAATGAGCCCGGAACTGGGGTTCAGTTCAGTTGGAAGTGGAGTTGGAGGTGGCGTTCAGAGCAGTCCGGAGCTTTTGTCTCCTTCCCACCAGGGCAATCCCGCGGCACAGCCAACCATTCCTTCCGCTGCTCCCCCGGGGTTCCGCCTTACAGCCCAGCTCCCTATGGATGAGCCTGGGTCCCCCAGGTTTGGCCTAGAACTGGGGTTCAGAGCAGTCAGAACTGGGGCCCAGCACAGTCGGAGCTTTTATCTCCTTCCCGCTAGGGAACGCCAGCCATGCACTCAGCCGCCCCTCCTCTCTGGCTCCGTCCTCTCCGTGCGCGCAGCGTGTCTCCGTACCTCAGGCTTTTACAGCTCCTCCGCTCTTCCTTCTGGTTTTCTCCTTGCTTCTCGTTGTAGAATATCCAGTCAGTCGACTTTCCTGTAGTTCTGGGTAATGTCCATTTTATATTTTAGTTGTATTTTATTGAAATTGTTGTGTGCGTCTGCGGCTAGGTGTTTACCTGTGCAGTCATCTTGGATTCTCCCGTGTTCATTCTTTTAATAGTCCATTTTTGTGCCATGAAATGTCGATGACTATGTTGACATAGCTGTCGGTTTGTTCAGTTTTGATCTTCATTTTATCTCACTAAGTTGAGACTCAATCTATTTCTAATCTCACCTTAAAAAAACAAACTGTACTTGTGGTATTTATTTCTTCCTCAGACCTACTTAAAGAATCAAAACAGAAATAACACATTAAATTATAGACCTTTGGTTTGAAAACTTTGGAATCTGATATTAATGGTTTATGTGATGTCTTTCATATTAAGATACTAGAGGCCTAGTGCATGAAGTTTGTGCACTCAGTAGGGGGTGTCCCTCAGCTCGGCCTGTGCCCTCAGGGAATGTCTGACGGACGGCTTAGGTGGGAGCAGGTCTAGGCCGTCAGTCAGACATCTTTAGCACTGCTGAGGAGGCAAGAGAGGCTCCCAGCACCGCTGCCACACTCGCCAGCCATGAGCCTGGTTTGTGCCTGGGCGGCACTCCCCCTGTGGGAGCGCACTGACCACCAGGGGGCAGCTCCTACATGTCATAGCCACTGGTCGACCAGTCAACTGCCCCCTGGTGGTCAGTGCACGCATAGCAAGCAGTTGAGTGGCCTTAGCATACCATTAAGCATATTACACTTTGATTGGTTGAATGGATGACTAGACACTTAGCATATTAGGCTTTTATTATATAGAATTCTGGGGATTATATTGTTGGCTACCATTCCTTCCCTAAAGCGTTCACATTATAGTAGCAGTTGAGTTTTAATAGTTTGTGCAAGGGCTCTTACAGGTGTACTGAACAGAACAAGTTAAAAACATTTCCCATCTTAAAGGTTAAGGTTGGCCTCCAGTTTATAAGCAGGGTCCCTGGGGAGAAAGTCTCCTGTGGTGAAGGCCTGGTGCAGCCCGTGACCAACGGGCACAAGTTCTCGGTGCCTCCCACACTGGGTCTTCCTCTCGCACCCTTACGTGAGAAGACAGATTAATGTGTATAAGTTACTGAGTTAGTATCCTGTTTCTATATAGAACGTTTTGGAAAATATACTTCCATGGACTGAAAGTTGTCAAAATAGTGGTTTAGAAAAGAGGATCCATATAATTGGCCCATGAGATATACAAATGAATTTTTTGACAATTTTATGTTTTAAACATATATGCAAAAATGTTTAAATAGATTTATGTGTACATATATATATACACACACACACATATTCACTGAGTGGCCAGATTATTATGATCTCTGAACATATAATAATCTGGCCACTCAGTGTCTATCCTATAGAATAAAAGGCTAATATGCAAGTTGTCCCCTTGACCAGGAGTTAAACAGGCCGGCCAACCGCCCATGTCCCTTCCCCCTGGCCAGGTTGGCCGGACCCCACCCATGCACGAATTCATGCCCTGGGCCTCTAATACACACACACACACACACACACACACACACACACAGAGTGGCCAGATTATTATGCTTTCAGAGATCGTTATAATCTGGCCACTCAGTGTATATATACATACACACACACATTCTGTGTAATAAAAGGCTAATATGCAGATTATCCTCGTTTTGAGGAGTCCTGACCATGGGGGTGGCGTGGAGCAAAGGAAAGCCCTGGCCAGCAGCCGGGGCAAAGATGGTCCTGATCAGCTCTGATCACCAGCCAGGCCTAGGGAAGAGGGAGAGGGAACGAGAGAGGAAACACTGATTTATTGTTCCACTTATTCATTCATTCATTGGTCGCTTCTTGTATTTGCCTGACCCCTGACTGGGGATCAAACTCCCATCTTAGCGTACTGGGACAACACTAACCAACTGAGCTGCCTGGCCAGGGTCTTCTAAACTCGGCATCTGGTCCCGTTTTGCAGACTAGTATTTGTTTTCTAACTCTTCTTTTCTTGTGGACTCTCTCACTGTCATGGGTTCGTTTTTAAGTCATTAGAGACTTTAAAAATGATTTCCTCATCTTGCATGGCATATGATAGTGAGTGACACTTTAGTTCTAACATAGTTTAAGTGTTGCTATAAAGTTCATTTTTATACAATCTTTGAGAACCATATCTACATATAAGATCAGTTTTTATTGCTTATTTGTTAACAAGTGTTAAATGTATTTTAATATAATTATGTCTAACCATATTCCATACAGTTAACTTGCCAAAGTCGCAGCCCCCTGACTGATTGGCGATTCCTGAATCCTCGTCCCAAAAGCCTGGGAATAAGCATCTCCTTGGTCTTTCTGGGTCAGAGGTCGTCCAGCCCACCTGCTGTGGTTGATGGGATGAGGGACCGGGGAGTGTCGGGTAGTAAGGTTGACCCATGGATTCTTAGAAGTGAAATGTTGTCAAAAGACAGCTCTCCCTTGCAATTTTTCTTTTACCTTGAAAAAAAAAATTGTTTCTTTTAACACTTGATAGGTTAAAAAATGGTGACATTTCCACGTGTAATTCTGTTATCACGCTGAGGCATTTCCTCTTTTGCAGGCTGACTGCTTTAGCAACCTCTCCTGGCCGGGCTCGAGTTTTCTTTCTAGAGATCCCAGGAAACAGCAGCCTGCCGGATATTCTTCCTCTTTACAGGCTTCCTTGCGATGCTTAATTGATCATAGCAAAGCAGGTGCTGCATTGTAAAGCCTTTAAAACGTGAACACTACAAAATGGAAACCATGAGCATAGCCTAGTATGTAAACGCTGTTTGTGTCTGGTTACATAGACAGTGACTTTTTTATCTTTTCAGCCAAATTCTTTAAATATGCTCTTGATAGTAGTAAAAAGGAAGTGCCAAGTAGAAATGGTTTGTTTAGTTCCAAGCTGTAACCGAGCTGGAATCCACCAGTGACCCAGGGTGCAGTGGGCTGCCCAGGACGTGCTGCTGTGCCCCTGTCAGTAACCCTCCTCTCTCCGCAGGGACTCGACGTGGACGCTGAGAACTGTGCCGTGTGCATTGAGAATTTCAAGGCGAAGGATGTTATCAGAATCCTGCCGTGCAGGTCAGTTCTTTACTGCTGATTCACTCGGTGAACCCGGCTTCCGGCCACGGAGGCTCGGGTCTCTGGCCCCTGAACGCCACTGCCTCTGTCCTGCAGATAAAATGCTTGGCGGAGTCCGGGAGGCCCAGAGACCCTGCTGTGTCTTCATCATGGACTGGCGCTCAGGAGAGGGAGCCGCAGCCTGGCCGGCAGGCCCTGGCCCGGTGTGGGGCGAGGGCATGCGGAGGGGGGGCAGTGCTTTGCTGTTGCTTGCACCCGGTCTTGGGTCCTCCGGGGGTTGCACACAGTTACTCTGCGTACATCACGCTGGATTGCTTTTAGCAACAAAGTTGTTTCCTCTTTAATGATGGGATATTTGATACTTCTTTTTAAAAATTGCTTTGTTAGCAAAAGGTCGTGCAAAATTTATATGTTCAAGTGTGACCAGTTTTAATTATAGCTCACATCTATTATTATAGAAGCAAGTCAGGAGTTCATACAGGTGGGGCCAAAGTAGGCTTACAGTGTGAGTACGAGAAACAGAGTTTATTCTTGTTGTTATTTATTACTTATTGAAGCATTTCCCATGATGAACTGTAGCCCATCATACTTATGCCCCACCCTGTATATAATTACATTTGCTTTATGTTTGCAAAGTATTTTAATATATAAACAAGTATTTTTATCATACATTAAGTTCTCAATAATTGTAGAGGAAATGAATAACTATTCAGAATAACAAAATAAAAGTTTCCTCAATAAAGATGTATAACTTAAGTCTATAGGCATTTACAGGGGGTTGGTGGGATGGGTACTTAATGAATTGAAGTCAGTATTATATGTTGCCTCTAGAAAATTTAAAATAAATTGTAAATATATTTGTATTGATTTCAGAGAGAAAGGGAGAGGGAAAGAGAGAAACATCAATGATGAGACAGAGTCAGTGGTTGGCTGCCTCCTGCACGCCCTTGACCAAAATCGGACAAGGGACCCTGCAGTCCACAGGCGGTGCTCTCTCCCCTGAGCCACACTGGCTAGGGCTGGAAAGCTGTTACAATAGAAAGGTGTTTAACTGCAGGCTGAGAAGCCAGCGGGCGGGGCTCCTCCTGACCCACCAGAAACGCGTGGCGGGCACCGTCTCCCGTCTCTTCCTCAGGTTCTTGGGGTTTTGGCTTTTTCCTCCATTTTCTCTGGTGCTCTATTGAATGGCTTTTCCTATATATTTTTTAAGTTTTTGTAAAAATAATTCCTATGGGTGAGTCAGTTTCAAATTGAGGATGGAAAGGTCAGGAGGGAGGCTAGCCTGGAGGGTGTGCCCAGCTCCTGTCGGTGTGCCCGCTGTGCTGCAGGCCACACGTGTGGCTCCTGGCGGGGCGGGGCGGAGGCACAGGGCGGGGCATGGCATGGTGTTTGGGCCCAGCCTGCTGGTCCGACGCTGTACTCTTACCTCCTCGCCTTCGCACATGAGCGCCACTGAGACAAGTCAGCAAAGAAAAAATGTGCTGCGATTTATTTTATTCTGAAAGTGACGTGTTTGTTACAGAAAATGTTTTTTAAGCCTGCAACCAAGGATGATTTGTTAATATTTTGCTGTATTTCCATTTGAGTCATTTATAGACAGACATAAGATGCTATCAGTTTGGTATTAGTTTACTGTTGGTTTACTTATGCCACGTTTGTTTCCAAAGGGCTTCAAAAACACACAAAAATACAACCTAGCATAATGTGAAAGGAAACCATGATATTTTTTGTGGCATAAAAAGGAAAATTCTCTGTAAGATTCTGTTTAACATGGAAAATAGACTAGGTAAGAACTTAGGGAAATTGAATAAACTAGAGTGTTGTTTGCATTATTTTAAAAATATTTTTTTATTGATCTCAGAGAGGAAGGGACAGGGAGGGAGAAAGATCAATGATGAGAATGAATCATCGATCGGCTGCCTCCTGCACGCCCCCTACTGGGATTGAGCTCCAATCCAGGCATGTGCCCTGACCGGGGATTGAATCGTGACCTGGTTCGCAGGTCAGTGCTCAGCCACTGAGCCATGCTGGTTGGGTGGGATGCCATTTAATTGTAATGAGAAGATAAGTTGTTAGAATGTGTTGTTTCCTTGATAAGATGTAAGCGTTGCTTGTAAAACATTAACACGCCTTACTTTTTCAGGCATATTTTTCATAGAGTGTGCATCGACCCATGGCTTTCTGACCACCACACGTGTCCAATGTGTAAGCTCGATGTCATCAAAGCCCTGGGATACTGGGTTCGTGCCTTTCGTTTCTATTCAGTCTCTGCCCCGCGCTTCCTGAGGGATGCCTGTCATTACTGACAGTCTCCTTCTCGTTAAGAATGAATTCTTAGGCTATCCCGAAGAAAAGGAGGGGCCGAAGTTCGTGATGGTACAATAGCTGTTCCTCAGAGGGTGCGGGAGCGTGTGTTTGGGGAATGCGCTGCGGGTGCCTGTGTGGCCGTCCCTGGGGCACGGCCAAGGCTTCCGGGAGGAACCAGACACGGGCTCAGGCGCCCGTCCCGGGAGGAAGCCAGGGCCAGAGCCTCCTGAGCCGTTCTCCGAGTCCTGTTCCGAGGCTCCCACGCTGGCTGCTGCCTCGGCGGGTCCCAGAGGACCAGGGCCTTCTGAGAGCAGCCGCAGGCCGAGGCAGCAGAGTGGCCTGCGGCTCCTGGGCTGGGCGCTGCCGTCTGTCCGCTCACAGGGCTCAGGCTGGGGAGAGGCTGCCCGGGGAGCCAGCTGTCAGGCTTCCTCAGGGCCGGGCCGCGCTCTTCACTGCCGTCCTCCCCAGCGGGGGCAAACAGAGGGAAGGAAACAGCTTCTCTGGCTTGTCTATTGCTTATTGTTTTCAGAGTCTTTATAGAATCAAAGCAGTGTTTCCAAATATTCTTGATTTGACAGTCATTAGTTTTGAGATAAAGAATTTTGAAAGAAATAGTATAAAATGTTTTTTCTTCATGCTAAACATATTTTTAGAGTTGGGTTTCTTTGCCAACTTTTTATTTTCCAAGTAACATAAACAAAAACCTGATGCCTATTATTTAAAGTAATTTTGTAAGATAAAAAGATATTTTAACATCCAAAATGCAAAATGAACAAACAGGAGACGCCTGACAGAGACTGAGCCTCTCGATGAACACAGAGCTTTAGAGAAACTCACGTTGCTGCGGGGACCGGCCCTGCCCGCGGTGTCGGGCGGCCGAGCGGACCTGCGGCTCTTCTTACCCCCCAGGCGGTCAGCATTCCAGGCAGCCTGGCCTCGTCTCCAGCCCTGGCCCGGTCCCTGACATCGCTCATGGTGGCGGCTAACGGCGCGGCCTCTGTCAGCGTCAGCCCGGGTGCCGCCTTCCCAGGAGCCGCCCTCTGCCTGCGGGAGGCAGAGCGGCCTCCCTTCCCCACATGCACTCTGCCGCTCAGGTCAAGTAACTTCCCTGCTTTCATTTCTAAAACTCGGTGTAAAAGGGATTTCACTGGCAATTAGTATTGAGACTTTATTTTATTATTATTACTTTTTAAAATATATTTTTATTGATTTCAGAGAGGAAGGGTGAGGGAGGGAGAGAGAGAAACATCAATGATGAGAGAGAATCATCGACTGACCAGCTGCCTCCTGCAGGCCCCACACTGGGGATCGAGCCCCCAACCCAGGCCTGTGCCCTTGACCGGAATCAAACCCGGGACCCTTCAGTCCGCAGGCAGATGCTCCATCCACTGAGCCAGACCAGCGAGGACAGTATTGAGACTTTAATCCTCATGTGTTTTGGTTTTGGAAATTTGTAAATTAAAAGACAAGATTCTTCATTTTACATCAGGTTGGGTTGCTTTCTTAGAATGCTGATGTCAGAAAGCTCCACTCTGTGTCCCAGGAAGCTCACTTCTTTTGGAAGAACAGCGGCCTGTGGTAACTTAAATCAATGCAAGTCCTTAACTTGTCTTGCCTTTAACTTTTCAAACCTTTTGACAAGTGTGCCATTTCCCTCGGCCCTCGGTAGTGGGGCCAGGACACGCTCCCATGTGGCAGCTGTAACTAGCTGTGCCCCAGGCGCAGCAGCGGTAGCCAGTGCTAGCTGTGCCCAAGGGTGCCCGCGGCCTAGCGCAGCCCCTGGCCGGCAGGCAGACCCTGGGCCTCAGGTCGGCAGCCGGCAGCTCTGTGCCCACGGCCTCGGCAGCCGCTGGGCAGCGGTGTAGGCGGGACTCACCTGGGCCTGGGCACAGGGATGGTAAAGAGGACACAGCCGGCTCGCCCCGGCATCTGCTCCAGGGGCAGGAAAGCGTGTAATAAGCTTCACTTCCTGCAACAACAATAAAAAGGCGGCGTTGTTGGTATCAGGGGGAATAGTGGTTAGAATGCCAGATCTTGGGAAGCTGCTTTTTGGGAGTAATTCACTGATGATGCTAGATAAAGTAGATATCGTGTGCTTTTTGCTACATTCTGTGTATAAGTAAACATTTATGAACAAAATACGATAAGTGTGTGACAAAAGTGATGAATACACTGTGATCGGTGGACTTAGAAAGCGTTCCCTTTGTTCTGCGCAGGGCGAGCCGGAGGACGCCCCGGAGGCGCCCACCGCAGAGGCAGCCCCTGGCGGTGCCGTGGCTGCAGGTGTGAGTGTCACTGTGGGCGCCGAAGACCGGAGTGCAGGCTGCCCGGCGCCCTCCGCCCGGGACCCCGCGCCGCCCTGCAGGGGGCGCCCCAAGGACGACGCGGGGGAAAGCACAGCCCTGCTCGGTGAGTAATCGCTGGTAGCCCCCAGGCTGACGTGGGCGCTGAGAAAGAAACAGCATGAAGTGCAGAAAAGCTAAAGGAAAAGTGAAAACCATCACCTCACACCTGGAATACGGTGTTAACATTTTGACAAATATATTTTCAAAGGTTTTTTGTGTGTTTGGTGATGGGGAGAATGTCATTCATGTGCTACTAGGTAAGCTGTTTTTTTCTCTGAGTGTCTGACTGTGTTTCTGTATGCGTAGATATATAATTTGTACAGATGCATAGTCCTGCATTTTGGATTTACTTGAGTAATTTTTCAAGTCACACCCTGAGTGTGGCTTTTGTCAGTATGTAACATCTCCATACCACTTGTCTAATTTGTGTTCTGTCATTCTGATTGATAGAGTGAATTGCATTTCTTTGAAGATTTTTTTAAATTGATTTTTAGGGAGAGAGGAGGGGAAGAGAGAGAAACATCAGGGTGAGAGCAAAATATTGATTGGCTGCCTCCTGCCTAGGATCGAACTAGCAACTTTCAGTGCCCGGACAGCACCCTGCCCGCTGAGCCACACCGTCCAGGGCTGACATGCATTTTTTTATTATTCATGAGGTTACCTTCTTTTCATATTTGTCAGTCATCTGTTCCTTTTATGAATTGTCCCTTTCATTCTTAGCTTATTTTTCCGTAGAGAAACGAGTCTTTCATACTTTGCACTTTGGCTGTGGGGGCTGCTTCGGGGGCTTGATCTGTTGGGGACATTCTTCTAAGCAGCCGTGCCTCCTTTCCGGCAGCCCCTCACCCGCGCTCCCGCCTAGGCACGCAGTGTCTGCGCTGCTGCCCCCCGGCGGGCGGCGTCTGCGGAGGACCAGCCGCTCCCTAACCCCGGCCCCTGAGGTACTGGGCGGCACTTACCCCGACCCCAGTTCTCTTCATGCTCGTTCCTGTGTGCAGTAGTGTGTCAGCATCCTTCCCAGCCGCCCTCTGAAAACGAAGGTGGTTTCAAACACAGAGAAATAGAGGTGTGGAAGAAGCTGGTGACAGGAAACCACGGCCCCCCCGGAAGTCCTTTCCTGCTGGCTGTGCTCGTCCTGGCGGCCTGCGCAGCGCCCCTGCAGGGAGTCGGAGCGCCTGTCCTGTGTGCGGGGGCGCTCTGCGCAGGCACCGTGTGCTGCAGTGTTTACTGCAGGGTGTGAGCACCGGGCCTGTGAAATGGGGCGATGGCATGTAGTGTCCACCTCGCCGGTCACCGTATTGCCCAGCAGGCGCTGGGCTCCACGGGAGCCACTGACTGACTTAGGAAGCAGGCAGCAGCTCAGGCTGCACCGGCCTGCAGCCCGCTGACCGCTGGCCCGGAGGCCTTTGTGGGGGAAGGCGTGGAGAGACTTCCAGTCTGGAATGGCTTCCATTTGTTTGCATTAGTCTCTAGGTGAGGAACTGCTTCTAATCGGGTCCAGGCGTGCGGTGACTGACGCTGGCTTTGTGTGTTGCAGAGACGGCAGGAGCGACACTCCGGGTGGAGGACCCGTCTCCTCACTCGGCCTCTGACAGCGCCCGCCGGGTGGAGCTCTGAACTGAAGGACATTCTATTTTTTTTACTTTAGCACATAGTTTATATATTTGAAAATAATGTGCCTTTTGATGAATTATTTTACCTTTCATGGTCTGTTTGATATACAAAGGGCTAAATATTTTATTCTTAAAGAGACTTTTGATTGCTGTTCATATATTTATCTACTGGAGTATATCATTACAGTGAATACATGTTTCAGACTGTGTATGAGGAGGAGGCAGGAAGACACGCTGGTGTCAGTGTTCCTGAATGGTCGGCGAGGCTCATTCCGTCTCGAAGGGCGGTTACAGACTCGGCACGCTGAATTTAGACGAGTTGGAGTGGGTTGTGTAATTAAGTCCCATAAATCTCCATGTCGGTGTCCCTGGAGAAAGGCGTTTTCAGAACGTCATTTGTGTAAATGAGATGAGAGGAATCTACACCTTGGCATTACACAGAGATTGCCCTTTTTCAGTGTTGTGTTACCCAATTTCTTGTGACGCTTCGATGGGAGGTTTGCTCATTTTTTTTCAACAATTAAAAATGCTCAGAATCTGTATTTCTGTGAATACTGGGTTCCCCATTGCCTATGTGGAAAAGCGATTAGTCAGTGACCAGTTTTCTCTGTAAAGGATGAATACAATGTATTGGTTCCAACACAATCTGATATTTAAAACTGTAAGGGTGAAAGGGAGAAGTTTTTATTGTTGTAACAAAGTAAACAGTGAGTTTCCTGATTAATTTTAAAGCAGACTAATAACCATGCCTTTGTTGAATCAACTACCCTTTTTGCTTTGTTTGCTGTTCTGGCTTGTAGGTGAAAGGAGCAGCAAATAAAAAGCATTTGGAGACTTAAGTTTCAGAAAGTGGTTAAATACACACACCCTGCTCTTCTGTCACTGGTTGGAGGTGGAAGTTGAAGATAAGGGAAGAGTTATTTTGTGGGTAAAAAAAAAATGTTTAGTAAGAAAATATATTTTAAAAAATTAAAAGAATTCATTTTTAAATCTATCTAAATCTAAGTTTTATTATGAATGGTAAATAGTAACTATGAGTGGTAAATAGTTTCTTCAAACTATTTACCACTCATAGTGAATTGAAGCACTTGGTGAGTGAACAGTTTTACTAAAGTAAACGTTGGCCAGATCCAGCTTAAGAAGCTACTGAATAGAAAACTTGTCTCATTTGAGCTCTCATTCAAACAGACAGCCTCAAAGTGAGTGTCTGTGAGAGTCATTGTCTTCAAGCTCTCCTTCTCTGGTTCATTGTGATCAGGGAAGTCTGCCCTGGATCCCATACCAAGTGGACGGGTTGTTTCCTCGTGTTTGAAGGAGCTTTCTAGAACCCTGGTGGGGTGGTTCCGTTGGTTGAGCATGGTCCCATGCACCAAAGGGTCACTGGTTCAGTTTCTGGTCAGGCACCTTCCCAGGATGCAGGCTTGACCCTGCTCCTCGGTGAGGTGCGTGCAGGAGGAAGCTGATCGATGTTTCACTCTCCCATCAATGGTTCTCTCCCTCTCCCTTTCTCTCTAAAAATCATTTTTAGATTTTTTAAAAAAAGAAACAGCCCTGACTGGTTTGACTCAGTGGATAGAGCATTAGCCTGCGGACTGAAGGGCCCCAGGTTTGATTCCGGTCAAGCGCCTGTGACTTGATTGCAGGCACATCCCCAGTTCCTAACTCTATCCCTCTCCCTTCCCCTCTGTATAAAGTCAATAAAATGTATTTTAAAAAAGAATGATTTAACAATGTTTCCCAGTAGTCAGTGAGGCTGACTTTTAAAAGAACACTGATTTCATCATCAGGTGTCAGGTACAACTTTCCTTAATTCAAGTTTGAATTAAATTATAAACAAGGGATTGTGAGAACTGTAGTCTCATTTCTTTAATCGCAGGAAAAAAGATGCACTCTACTTCAAAAGGAAACAGGGCCCTTTGGTAGGCGATTTAATAAATATGAAGAGTCGGAAACTACCAGAATTTTGGCTGAAACGTCGAGATGATAGACTAGCCGTGGCCAGCCAGCCAGTTGGTTGGAGCGCAGACCAGATGCCCAAAGGTTGTGGATTCACTTCCCCGGGGTGGGGCCTCGATGTTTCTCTAAAAACCAGTGCAAACATGTCCTGGTGTGGGTTGCAGGGCGCTGGGACATGGCTGTCCCTGGAGAAAGGGTGCCCTAGATCAGGTGGGTGGTGGTCATGTCAGCGGCGTCTGCAAACAATGTCAAGTGTTACCTTTGACCTTCCAGGAGCAGTGGGGGAGGCGGCCGGCCCCGAGCTGCATGGAGCGGGAGGCCCGGCAGGTGAGGCTCTTCAGGGGGCGCGGGGCGCGGGCCTGGGGCGAGCACCCGGTCCCTGAGGAGTGATGACAGGAAAGGCCGAATTGCAGTGCCACCGGCAGTTTGCTCTCTGCGGCCACGATGACAAAACCGCTGAAGCGAACACAGTCTGACCTCAGTAACGGACGCAGCCCCGGGCCTGGCGGCTCCAGGTTGAAATGACTCCGGACGGCGCTGGCCCCAAATGAGGCCCCCGTACCTCTGCTCACGCTGTGCCCGCTGGTGGAGACCTGGGCGGGGAGAGCCGCCTTCGGCCGGTGTCCCTGCGCGGTGCTGGGGGCGGGGGGCTGAAGCACCCTGGTCCTCGCTAAGACAGCCAGTTAGGAACCACCTCCCCCTCCTACTGAGTTTCCGAACTTCTAAAAACAAGGATTTCATTTTCGAAAACACTGATGTGTATTGTAAAAGTGAAATTTCTTCAATGTCATCATTCAGCTGAAATGGACTATTCTATCGAGCAGGAAGCTGTAGTTGAGAATGGCATTTGCATTCATTAAAAATTAATGGAGGCGAGAGCCAGCCGGTGGCGGGCTGAGCTGCAGCCTGTGCAGGGGCCTGAGGCCGGGCGCCTGCTCAGCGAGGGCAGTGCCAGCGGCCCCAGCCGTGGGGCTGCTTCCAGAGCATCTGGTTGGCTCCTGAGAACAGCAGTAACTGCAGACAGACCAGACGGAAAGTGAAATCAGCCAAGTTCCCAGGTCTTAAACTTGAATGGATATGTAAAAAGTTCTTCCATGCATTGGTTTCCAGACCCTTAAAATGTGATCTTAAAAGAATATCACTCAAAATACTACTTAAAAGACAGAGTGGGTAAAAAAATGGATTTACAGTTGTTCGCATGGAAGTAATACAGCAACAATACAAGAATAAACTGTTTTGCCCCACCCTGTAGCTATGCGACCCTCCCTCCCCACCGGAAGGTCATCCCAGAATGCAGAGCAGTGCATGGTGCTTAGAATCCCGTGTGTGTGTGTGTGTGTGTGTGTGTGTGTGTGTGTGTGCTCTGAGATCAGTGAGGGTACCATTTCTTACTTAGTCGTTGCTTCCGTGAATAATCAATGTTAGAGAAGTGTATTTTAAATAGTTGTAATTTAGGGTCCCAGATATTTTTGAAGTAACTTATTTTGCCCTGTTACTCAGTGTTGTCTTCTTTTTAACAGATGACTTGAAGACATGAAAGCAATTGGAACTAGGAAATCCAGAGAATTGAAGATGTGGGGTTTTTAAATAAATTGAATTTGAGTGCACTTAAAAGTTGATTGCATAAAAAAAAACACAAAGGACATCGCTGGGGCCTGGGGCTGCGCTCCCCCAGCAGGCAGTGGTGGAAACTGCCAGTTACAAAGCATATGAATCATCAACTTTTGTTTCCCCAACGCTAATATGCAAAACCACGATGCCCACGATTAGGGAGAGGAATCGGGTCTGGAGGTGCTCCTGTCACATCAGCTTGGGTCTTCAGTTTAAGCAGATCTATAATAATAAAAGCGGAATGTTTATAAGTCCCTTCCTTCCATAAGGATATACCTGAGATCAATTTATAAACCTAGGAGAATTACTTCTTAATGTTACAAGATTAAAACTTGTACTTCAGATCACTAGGCTTGATTTTCTTGAACTTTTGCTGAAGATTGCATTGGAAATTCCTGTTGAAGAGATTATCCTATATAATGAAACCCTAATATGCCAACCAACCAAATGGCAGAATGACCAGCTTCCATGACATGCACTGACCACCAGGGGTCAGGCGCCCAATGACAGGGAGGCTACTGGTGGTGGCAATCAGGACAGGGCTGGCCAGCAGGCGCACTGGGCCCTCCCCAATCGCCCTGCCCACCAGTCACCCTGCAGATGGCCTGGCACCAGGCAGGCCCAGGGACTCTACCCTCTATATTGGAAACAGTCTCTTAGATTTAAAACTTAAACCTGGCCAGGCTGCTCCAACAGACAACGGTGACGCCTCGAGGACACACGTGGACTTTGCTTGTGCATTGTGTGGTCAGCCCTGATCCTGACACACCTGACAAAACCATCACTTACCTTCTCTCTGCTTCTGTTTTCCACCCGTAGGACGGGGAGATGGCACTACTGCCTCAGAGGGATCATGTCATATACTACTTTTTATAATCGGGACAAAATATGTAGCTGCCCATACAACAGCAAGATGCCGCTCACCGGTGTCAGACCCCTAGTTTCCCTATAAAATACAGTGGAGCCTTGGGCTTAAACTTAATTTGTTCACAAGGCTGTTCAAGAAGTGATTTGTTCCGAAACTGAACCATTTTCCCTTAGAAATAATGTAAGTGGAATTAATCCGTCCCAGGCCCCAAATGATCCCGTGCTGACCTTCCCCATGCACAGCACGTGTCTAACACGCTGTTTACTATGAACACACACTTCTCTGACATCCACCGGACCGCCTCCAGCTGAGCTTAAAGGAACCACGCCCCGCACTGGCCCAGGTGTCCGTCAGGCAGCCTGCGGCATCTTCGCTTGTTCACAGGGCACTGCCCGGAAATGCTGCCACGGCTAACGGCTCTTCCTTCACCAAATCAGCCAGTTTTCCCAGCTCTCCGTGCCTGAGCTCACTGCTGCTTTCACACCCTAGCAACAATAGCACACTTGATGCCTCTTATGTTTTAAAATTGTGCTAACTGTCCATTTCCCCGGCAACAGAACACAAAAATATTCACAGCTCAGCAGTCAAAAACCAAACTTTGGTTCCACAACGTAAAGTTTGGTTGTGGAACAATTCAGTGTCTATTGAAACTGAATTGTTTGAGAGATGTTTAAGATTTGACGGTATATGCTTTGAAAATATGTTGGTACATGAATAATTTTTTACAATGCAAGAAAAAAAAAAGCATTCCGATCATAGAGTTTATAAAAAACAACTTTAATATAAGGCACTGCTGTCCAGTTACCGCGGACCTGAGCCCACAGGCCGCCCTCCCGCACCCCACAGAGGGCAGCGCCCCCGCGGCAAGCAGCTTACAGGGCAGTCCTCCCCACAGCATGGATGAGGTGGCTCAAAAGTCACATCCTAGACTAAGATCAGAACCAAAGAACAGCTCAAGAAAAACACAACAGAAAACCATACCAGCTATTATAACCCTGACCAAGGTTTCTAAGAGTTCCCGTGTTTATAAGAGGCCCAGGAAATGAATTTATTCTTGTATCTGTTAAGTCCTCAAAACAATAAAGAATGAAGTTACCAGTATGTCCTTGGTTCAAGCTCTGCTTAATGAGAAGTAATGGGTTCAAGGACCCACTTTCTGCTTGCCATGTGACCCAGAAACACTCAACCAATTCCACCTCAAGGTCAGTACAAGCAAGTCTTAGTTTTCATTTTCTCTCATTGAACACGTTTAACATCGGAACCTGAGGAAAGCTGGATTCTTGACTTAATCAGCAGCCTCCATTTGTTTTAACAAAAACACCTTGCTTTTTAGTGCTAAGGACCTCACCTATTATTTGCAATAATCTTTCTTTTGGATAACCATTCCTTCTGTAAGACACCTAAAGACATTTTTCCAAGTTCTTACCAAAAATTCTTCTGAAGGAGAAAGTTACCCAGAAAAGTAAAACTTTGCTTTAAATAGCTAAAGTGTTGTTTTTTATGTATTATAACAAACAACCCACTCGGGGGTCTAGCAGGTAAAACTAACATCACAGCCCCATGAACACAGGTGGTGCTGACGAGGCACTACTTTGACATTTTGGTCTCGGAAGGCGTGTCCCCAGTGTCCAATGTCTTCAACAACCGGAAGAGGCCAGCAGCTTCTCGGATCCTACTGAACTCGATGCAGAATGCCTGCACTTCTATAAACAAGTCCTGCACGTTAATGATTTTGTTACGGATCAAAGATTGGAGAAAGACACACACGAGACGCACCAAACGATTCTGAAAAAGAAAAGAAAACTTTAGTGTGCCCATTTGCTTGGCAGGTTATTTATAAAATTTACTAAAATTCCTATTAGTTACCTGCATATACTTATCCTTAATCTGTTCACAAGTAGAGATGCAATTGGATATATAAAGGTGGATGAACTCAGGAGGTAGGTCAACAGCTGTAGTCAGTCTGTTTCAGAGTAGAAAAGTAGGGTGGTTTTATATGCTAACATCCAAGAATATTGTTAACCATAAAATACCACATTTCCTTTGGTCATTTAGTGTAAATCTCTGATGACCAATTTACCTAGTTTTAAATATACTTATGTAGATAAGCCTGGGAGCCATGCCAATCTGTTAATAAATGACACTTGCATTTTCTAAGAGCCACTTTGCATTATGCATTGTAAGCACTCATTAAGCAACCAATTCTGGGAGCAGTTCGGTTATTTCTTCCAAGCTCTAATAACCTTGACAATGATTCCATTCATTCACTAAGCCCCGATTAAGTGCTATATGCAGTGTGTGAGGAAGGTGGAAGTTTAGCAGCTAAACTGTAGAATACAATTTACAGGCTAAAATGAGGCACTTGCAAAAAGTAATGATGTAAGTGAAAAGTGTTGGTGAAGTCTTAAAAGGAGGAAGGCCTTAAGCTGACATGTAGGTAGAGGAGTCGATGGTCTGAGTAACGTTTGGAGCCTGGGGTCACAGGGTGCTCATGACCTGCCCTTCGGTCTCCTGGGGGAGGCGGCATGGCTGACGGCTGACAGAGGCAGGGATGGGAGGTCAGTTCAGAGTCTCGGGAAGCTGGTGTTTTAGAGAGGACTCCATGGAACAAGGTATGCATGCTAACTACACACATGCATTTCGGGAAGAAACAAAACGTTCCTTTATCCACTGGCGCTGAGGAACCTCCGCCAGAGGCTGCTGGCCAGCGCTGCCTCACCCTCGGGGACTGCCGAGGACTGGTCAGGGCACAGCGCAGACCTTTTCTCGGGATTCCCGGGTGGTTCTCAGACTCGGAGCCAAATGTCCGCAGTGACTTCCACGAGGTCGTGGCGAGGGGAAGACTGAACCTTCACTCGGCGGAACCCAGCCCGAAGCAGAGGCTAACGGTGCCGAGGCCTCGGGGAGAAGGCAGACCGAGGCAGCGCGTTTTAAATGCCAGCTGTGCGAGGACAGCTGGAACCCCACGGCTCTTCCCCCCTACTTGGGGGTCACCTGGCTTCATTACACGTTTTTCTCTAGTTGATTAACTTAAAAGGACTTTTTTTTTTTTTTTAATATGGAACGCCTCACGAATCTGCATGTCACCTTTGCACTGGGGCCAGGCAAATCTGTGTCATTCCAATTATAGGACAATGGAGGCCCCGTACACAAATTCGTGCATTTGGGGGGTCCCCTCAGTCTGGCCTGCACCCTCTCAATCCAGGAGCCCCCAGGGGGTGCCCTATGCCATGGAGGTGGGAGAGGCTCCCACCACGGCCACTGTGCTCACCAGCCGTGTGCCCAGCTCAGGCTTCTGGCTGGGAGCTCCCCCTGTGGGAGCGCACTGACCACCAGGGGGCAGCTCCCGCACTGAGCGTCTGCTCCCCGGTGATCAGTGCATGTCACAACAACTAGCCATTTGGTTGATTTGCACATATAGAGTTAATGCTAAAAAGTTGAAATCCTACCTTCTGGGTTCTTTCCTGGGGATGCTAAGTTCACATGCCGTGAAGACTAAGGCTCAGATTATTATTCACTGGGTTTCTCAGGCTAAGACGAGAAGAAAAACTCTGGTGGTTTTTCCCTGCTGGCCCCTCTGACTGCGCGTGGGCACTCACCGGTTCACCACCTCCATGGAGTGTAAAGACATGTCCATGTTGACCAGGACGGAGAAGTACTCGGTGATCTGGCTGGACTGCATCAGCTTCAGCAGCATCTCTATGGCGACGAGAGGGTTGTTCTCCACCAGGTCAGGAAGCTTGGCTGGCGTGAGGCCAATGTGATAAACAAGTTTGGGATCTTTTTCCAACTCACCAAGGAGCTGGAAAAAAAAAAGGTTCTTGAGTCAAACTAGGCATTCTCTTAGCTGCCTACAAAAACACGCATTTTATTTACAAACAGCTACAAACTACCTGCATTGAACCAACTTCATAAATTTCTTCCCTGACATCCATGATCATAATGATTTGATATTTTTCAATTTGCATTTGAATTATGATTTTAAAACATAAACATTATTACTTTTTCCTCACCTGAGAATATGTTTTATTGATTTAGAGAGAGAGAGAGGGAGAGAGAGAGAGGGAGGGAGAGAGAGACATCAATTGGTTGCCTCCTATGCATGCCCTGACCAGGGATCAAACCAGAAACATAGGAATGTGCCCTGACTGGGAATCAAACCCACAATCTTTTTGGTGTACAAAGTGACACTCCAACCAACTGAGCCACTCGTCCAGGGTGATAAATTAAGACAGTTTATAAATATGCCAGAATCAATGTTGTCTGGTTGAATGAAATATTTGTCTGGATTGTAACAACAATCCTTTGTGTGTTTCTTTTTCTCTCAAAAATAATTTATCAGCCATAGCTGGTTTGGCTCAGTGGATAGAGCATTGGCCTGTGGACTAAAAGGTCCCAGGTTCGATCCAGCCAAGGGCACAGGCCTTGGCTGCGGGTTCAATCCCCCGTAGGGGGCATGCAGGAGGCAGCCGTTCAATGATTCTCTCTCATCATTGATGTTTCTATCTCTACCTCTCCCTTCCTTTCTAAAATCAATAAAATATATATTTTTTAAAATAATTTACCAACTAGTTCCCCTAAAAAACCCAGACCATAGAGAATTGAGGGACATCTAAAACAGCTGCACAGCCCCACTCCAAGCGGGAAAAGGAAGCCCAGAGAGGGAGCAGGCTGGGGAGGGGGGTAGCAGGCTGGGAGGGGGGAGCAGGCTGGGAGGGGGGGAGCAGGCTGGGAGGGGGGGAGCAGGCTGGGGAGGGGGGGAGCAGGCTGGGAGGGGGGTAGCAGGCTGGGGAGGGGGGGAGCAGGTTGGGGAGGGGGGGAGCAGGCTGGGGAGGGGGAGCAGGCTGGGGAGGGGGGGAGCAGGCTGGGAGGGGGGAGCAGGCTGGGGAGGGGGGAGCAGGCTGGGAGGGGGGGAGCAGGCTGGGGAGGGGGGGAGCAGGCTGGGGAGGGGGGAGCAGGCTGGGAGGGGGAGGAGCAGGCTGGGAGAGGGGGAACAGGGTGGGGGGGGAGCAGACTGGGTAGGGGAGCAGGGTGGGGAGGGGGAGGAGCAGGCTGGGAGAGGGGGAACAGGGTGGGGAGGGGGGGGAGCAGACTGGGTAGGGGAGCAGGCTGGGAGGGAGGGAGCAGGCTGGGGAGGGGGGAAGCTTTCTTGCAATCCACCCTTTAGTACTATTTATGGTTCAAGTCATAAGCATACTCTGTAATTAAAAAACAAGCTTTCCTGCACACTAGTCCATCTCTTTTACTTCCAGGTTGTCCACGCTGTCCCTCCGTGTGCTGTGTGCCCCTGGGCTGTGCTCAGACGGCTGGCGGGAGCGATCCTTCACCAGCTGCCCCACCTCGGAGCGGAGGAGTGCTGGACCGCCCGGTTCCCATGTGGATGTGCAACCTGAACGAAGCCCCTGCCTTTCCCTCCAGGGCAGCGGGGCCCGTGAGCCTCAAACCCACCACCACCAGCGGTGTGACGGGGTGCGTCACCCCACCTGCGCGTCCCTCCCCCGACAGCTGGAAAGCCGCTTGCCCTGAACCACGGGACTGCCCGGCTGGCACACAGAGGGACTGCCCGGCTGGCACACAGGGGGGACTGCCCGGCTGGCACACAGCGGGACTGCCCGGCTGGCACACAGGGGGAACTGCCCGGCTGGCACACAGCGGGGACTGCCCGGCTGGCACACAGGGGGAACTGCCCGGCTGGCACACGGGGGGAACTGCCCGGCTGGCACACGGGGGGAACTGCCCGGCTGGCACACAGGGGGAACTGCCCGGCTGGCACACAGCGGGACTGCCCGGCTGGCACACAGGGGGAACTGCCCGGCTGGCACACAGCGGGACTGCCCGGCTGGCACACAGCGGGACTGCCCGGCTGGCACACGGGGGGGACTGCCCGGCTGGCACACGGGGGGGACTGCCCGGCTGGCACACAGGGGGAACTGCCCGGCTGGCACACAGCGGGACTGCCCGGCTGGCACACAGGGGGAACTGCCCGGCTGGCACACAGGGGGAACTGCCCGGCTGGCACACAGGGGGAACTGCCCGGCTGGCACACAGCGGGGACTGCCCGGCTGGCACACAGGGGGGACTGCCCAGCTGGCACACGGGGGGGACTGCCCG